GGTTTATTTTCTATGGCCTCCTTTTTTTGTCACTGGGAAAGCTGTGAGATGGATTTCAGTTCACAGCTTTCTTTTCTCTTGAGGTATCTTTCTTTTAGTTTTCTTAAGATACTCCTGGTATCTTATAGGATCTTGTTTGATTCTGTTTATATACACTACATGACCAAGTATGTGGACACCTGCTCGTCGAACATCTCATTCCAAAATCATGGGCATTAATATGGAGTTGGTCCCCCCTTTGCTGTTATAACAGCCTCCACTCTTCTGGGAAGGCTTTCCACTAGATGTTGGAACATTGCTGCGGGGACTTGCCTCCATTCAGCCACAAGAGCATTAGTGAGGTCGGGTACTGATTTTGGACGATTAGTCCTGGCTCGCAGTCAGCGTTCCAATTCATCCCAAAGGTGTTAGATGGGGTTGAGGTCAGGGCTCTGTGCAGGCCAGTCAAGTTCTTCCACACCCATCTTGACAAACCATTTCTGTGTGGACCTCGCTTTGTGCACGGGGGCATTGTCATTCTGAAACAGGAAAGGGCCTTCCCCAAACTGTTGCCACAAAGTTGGAAGCACATAATTGTCTAGAATGTAATTTGATGCTGTAGCATTAAGATTTCCCTTCACTGGAACTAAGAGGCCTAGCCCGAACCATGAAAAACAGCTCTAGACCATTATTCCTCCTCCACCAAACTTTACAGTTGGCACTATCCATTTGGGCAGGTAGCGTTCTCCTGGCATCCGCCAAACCCAGATTCATCAGTCGGACTGCCAGATGGTGTTGCGTGATTCATCACTTCAGAGAATGAGTTTCCACTGCTCCAGAGTCCAATGGCGGCGAGATTTACGCCACTCCAGCCGACGCTTGGCATTGCGCATGGTGATCTTAGGCTGCTCTGCCATTTCATGAAGCTCTCGACGAACAGTTATTGTGCTGACGTTCCAGAGGCAGTTTGGAACTCAGTAGTGAGCGTTGCAACCAAGGACAGAGAGAGAAAAGGTGGTGGAGAAGAACAGAAGAGAGATCATGTTTTGAATCGTATGTTTAAATTGTTCTGTCCCCGACAAATATACTGAACAAAAATATAAACGCAACATGCAATAATTAACGATTTTACTGAGTTACTTGGGAGCCAGGCCCACCCACTGGGGAGCTAGACCCAGCCAATAAGAATGAGTTTTTCCCCACAAAAGGGTTTATTACAGACAGAAATACTCAGTTTCATCAGCTGCCCGGGTGGCTGGTCTCAGACAATACCGCAGGTGAAGAAGCCGAATGTGGAGTTCCTGGGCTGGCGTTGTTACACGTGGTCTGTGGTTGTGAGGCAAGTTGGACGTACTACCAAATTCTCTAAAACGATGTTGGAGGCGGCTTATTGTAGAGAAAAGACAGTGCAATCATAATGTTCTGTTTTTTTTTTTTCTGTAATATTGACATGACTAATATGAGTTAAACATATTTTTGTAAAATAACATTATGGCTAAACAATATTAGTTATATATGCGTGGATAAAACAATTGTTTAATATTTGTATTATTATTATTATTATATTTACTTACAAATAAAATATGGCCAGAGTAAACTTTTTACAAAAAAACAATTTTAGACAGTGTGAAGGAATAAAAACAATAATTATAATTCACCTAATTTCTATTAGAAAACCACATTGTTTGTTGTTTTTTACACATTTATTAGTTTCAAATAAGACAATCAACAGTTACAGAAATAAAATGTTCTTGATTTTAGGAAATCACTTATTGTTTTTAGTACTTCCGTATTGTTACCGTTGTCGCACAGTTTTGCCATATGGCAACATATACAAAAAAAGAATATTGAATTCGTTTTTCTCACTTAAAATGGCCTCAACATTTTTGTTGCATGGTTCTATCATAATGTGTGTAGTGGAGGGTTAAAATTAAAAATACGTATCTTTACTAATTAGGTCCATCAAAAAATGTTTGTACACTCACTCAAGCGTGTGCACAGATAGGTCTGTACCACCAAGTAATAAAATCTACTTTCACATCTGGGTCTGAAGTTAACTTTCTTCTGATGCGGCAGAACACTGCCAAGAGTGCTTTGAAAGGCTGGTCATGGCTCACGTCAACACCATCATCCCGGAAACCCTAGACCCAGTCCAATTCGCATACCACCCCAACAGATCCACAGATGACGCAATCTCAATCACACTCCGCACTGCACTTTCCCACCTGGACAAAAGAAGAACACCTATGTGAGAATGCTGTTCATTGACTACAGCTCAGCATTCAACACCATAGTGCCCACAAAGCTCATAACTAAGCTAAGGACCCTGGAACTAAACACCTACCTCTGGATCCTGGACTTCCTGACGGGCTGCCCCCTGGTGGTAAGGGTAGGCAACAACACATCTGCCACGCTGATTCTCAATACTGGGGCCCCTCAGGGGTGCGTACTTAGCCCCCTTCTGTACTCCCTGTTCACACACGACTGTGTAGCCAAGCACGACTCCAACACCATCATTACGTTTGCTGACGACACAACAGTGTTAGGCCTGATCACAGACAACGATGAGACTGACCTCCTCGCTATAGGCTGAGACCTGGCAGTGTGGTGCCAGGACAACAACCTCTCCCTCAATGTGAGCAAGACAAAGGATCGGGGAGTACAGGAAAAGGAGGGCCGAACAGGCCCCCATTAACATCGTCGGGGCTGTAGTGGAGCGGGTCGAGAGTTTCAAGTTCCTTGGTGTCCACATCACCAACAAACTATCATGGTCCAAACACACCAAGACAGTCGTGCCCTCTTCACGACAACACCTTTTCCCCCTCAGGAGACTGAAAAGATTTGGCATGGGTCCCCAGATCCTCAAAAAGTTATACAGCTGCACCATCGAGAGCATCCTGACCGGTTATGTCACCGCCTGGTATGGCAAGTTCTCGGCATCCGACCGTAAGGCACTACAGAGGGTAGTGCGTACGGCCCAGTACATCACTGGGGCCAAGCTTCCTGCCATCCAGGACCTCTATACTAGGCGGTGTCAGAGGAAGGCCCAAAGAATTGTCAAAGACTCCAGTCACCCAAATCACAGACTCTACTCTCTGCTACCGCACGGCAAGTGGTACCGGAGCGCCAAGTCTAGGTTCAAAAGGCTCCTTAACATCTTCTACCCCCAAGCCATAAGACAGCTGAACAATTAATCAAATGGCCACCCGGACTATTTACATGTTTACACTGCTGCTACTCGCTGTTTATTATCTATGCATAGTCACTTTACCCCTACCTACATGTATGTACAAATTACCTCGACTAACCTGTACCCCCGCACATTGACTCGGTACCAGTTATAATTTTATTGTGTTACTTTTTATTAAATGTTTTACTTTAGTAAATATTTTTTCAACTCTTTCTTGAACTCTGTTGTTAGTTAAGGGCTTGTAAGTAAGCATTTCACTTTAAGGTCCTACACCTGTTGTATTCGGTGCATGTGACAAATAACGATTTGATTTGAAGAGGCAGGGATGTAATTGGTCGTTCCACCAATTTGGTACCTTTTGTGAAGTGCAAATTGGTTTTAAAAAAACGCTGGATTTCACATAATTGTAACTTTCTGTCATAAAGAGCACATGTTCAACTTAATAAAAACAGGTGTTCCCATCTCAAGCGGTTAAATAAAAAAAATGACTGTAGTAAGTGCTGATTAAGTGCAAAATAAATAACAGGGTTGACCGTAACAGGGTTGACCGTAACAGGGTTGACGATTTCTTAAAATCAGCCATGACACCCCTTATGACAGGGGGAAGCTTGTTGTGTCCAACAGGGATTGGCAATTGAATGCAAGCTTCACAAAAAAAGAAATAGTTAAAACATTTCTAGCTAACAGAGGATCCCACTCAGTTTTCACAACAAAACACCAGAAAATGACCACACAAAAAAACAGCTCACCTGCTTTTACTCTGAGTTCACTATTAGATGTTCAATGTTTCCACATGAAATAAATAACAATCTTCAGAAATGACTCAAAGCAACAACTAGGGCTTTACAATGTTTTACAATGATGGTGAAGCTTGGAGACATTTTGGGATGAAGTGGGTTAAAATCTTCCTAGAAGTGACACAGAGGGACATTTCAAAATGCTGAATTTTGGAACTTTAGCAAGTCTATTCATATTAAAAACCTGATTTGAATTCACAATGTGGTCTATATTAAAGGGCACTTCATTTAATATGTCTTAAAATTCAATATTGGATAATAATAGTAATAGTGGAACTACCCTGACATTTTAACTGGTGATATTTTAGGGACGATAACCAGGTGAAACTCGTCCCACATTGAGAGCAGTGGTAAGGCTTCTCGCCTGTGTGTATTCTCTGATGGTTATTTAGGTATCCTTCCCAATGGAAACTCTTCCCACACTGTTCACAGCTGTACGGTTTCTCCCCTGTGTGTATTCTTTGGTGGTTATTTAGGTGTCCTACTCGATGGAAACTCTTCCCACACTGATCACAGTGGTACGGCTTCTCTCCTGTGTGATATTTCTGGTGTTCATTTAGCCGTCCTGCCTGACTAAAGCTCTTCCCACATTGGGAGCAGTGGAAGGGCTTCTCTCCACTGTGTATTCTCTGATGTCTCTTTAGGTCTCCTGCCTGATTGAAGCTCTTACCGCATTGGGAGCAGTGGTGGGGCTTCTCTCCACTGTGTATTCTCTGATGACTCTTAAGGCTTCCTTCCAATTTAAAACTCTTCCCACAATGAGAGCAGTGGTAATGCTTCTCTCTGTGCGTTAGCTGGTGCCTCTTCAGATATGATGACAGACTGAAACCCTTCCCACACTGGGAGCAGTGAAAAGGCTTCTCTCCTGTGTGAGTTTGTTGGTGTGCCTTTAAATGTGATAACTGATTGAAACTCTTCCCGCACTCAGAGCAGTGGTAAGGCTTCTCTCCTGTGTGTATTTTCTGATGTTTATTTCGATTTCCTTCATTACTGAAACCCTTCCCACATTGGGAGCAGTGGAACGGCTTCTCCCCTGTGTGTATTCTCTGGTGTCTCTTCAAATGTAATGACGAATCAAAAGTCTTCCCACACTGGGAGCAGCGGAAAGGCTTCTTTCCTGTGTGAGTAAGCTGGTGATTCTTCAAGCTGCTTGGGGTCTGAAAACTCTTCTCACAATGACAACACGGGTACGTTTTCTTTCTTTTGAGAGTCTGTTGGTGTGATTTGAGGTGAATTGGACAGATAAAACTGCCTCTGCAATCTGAGCAGGTGTGGGGCCTACAAGTGTGTCTTCTCAACTCCTCTGGCTCATAGAAACTAGTGAAGCAGTCCATGCAGTGGTGATGTTTCTGTCTTGAGTTCCTCTGTCTGTGTTGTTTAGGGTTTCCTGATGCTGTGGAACTGGGCTCACTGTCTGAACCTGGGTTGGAGCTCTCTCCTGTGAGAATATGGACAGATATGGGGTTAGAATTAGAAAGGGAACATTGAAAGGGGCTTTAAAATCATTTTTATGCAAGCAGAAGCACTTTAATAGTTTTGGAATCCCCTGTGGTCGCCAAGGCACCAACCTCTCTCCGTACTCCACACCTGAACTTACCTGGGTCACTGATACTATCTACTTCTTCCTTCTCTTCCTCTAGATCTGGAGTAGACACATCCCTGTTCTCCTCTTCTTTGACTCCTCTCTCCTCCTCTTTGACCCCTCTCTCCTCCTCTACCTCCTCTTTGACCCCTCTCTCTACCTCCTCTTTGACTCCTCTCTCCACCTCTACCTCCTCTTTGACCCCTCTCTCCTCCTCTACCTCCTCTTTGACTTCTCTCTCTTCTTCTTCTTCTTTGACTGCTCTCTCCTCTTTGATTTCTCTCTCCTCCCATTCCTCTTTGACAATCACATTGAGTTCCAGTGGTTGACTGCAGTCCTCCAGCTTCACTGAGACCATCTCTGGACCCCACTGTGAGCTTCTCTGGGCTGGAACACCACAGCCAGAACCCAGGGACTCCATGGACTTGGGTTCAGACATGGAAGGCTAGAGATGGATCCAAAAAAGGAAGCACAACAAGTGAAAGGTTGAGTTTCCCAAAATACTGGAAGAGCTTTGCTAATTAAGGGTTAGACCATGCAAAATATTCCATGCACTAGGAATATCTGCTAAGAAATGTAACTAGCTAGCTCACGTTGCTATGGCGATGGCAACAATAGCTAACTTCAGCAATGTGGAGTTATTATTGGGTTAGCTTTAGTTTACTTGACCCCATGATGAAGGAGATAATCTTCCCCTCGGGGTCAAGCAGTGACGGGGGTCTGTGGAATTCAGCTCCGATTTCATCGGTCCTCTGTAGCTCAGCTGGTAGAGCACGGCGCTTGTAACGCCAAGGTAGTGGGTTCGATCCCCGGGACCACCCATACACAAAAATGTATGCACGCATGACTAAGTCGCTTTGGATAAAAGCGTCTGCTAAATGGCATATTATTATTATTATTATTACATCGACTTCTAAAAATGTGAATTGATAAATGCTTACCTTGTACCTGTGTTTGTCCTGTGTAGTTGCCTACCTTTCTTTGTTTGCTGAAATCCATTATCAATATGGATTTCAGCAAAGGCAGGCAGGCAACTACACAGGACAAACATAGGTTCAAGGTAAGCGTTTCATAATCTACATTTTTTTGAAGTATTGACCTTGGGCGAATCGATGTTGTCAGAGCTGAATTCCACAAAGCCTGGTCCCTGCTCAACTCCGTTGGTGTAGTTCATCAGAAACTTCCTTCACCATGGAATGAAGTTTAGTTAGCTTTAGCCCATTAATAGACGCTAACTACCTTTAGCGCCTATTGACTATAGTATCTTCTGGCCGGCGTAGATTTGTTAAGAGCCCTGATGCTTGCTCTAAACGTTAACGCGGTACGGTTTTGGAAACATAAGGAACGTATCTTTCACATCAGTGAGAAATCATTTTCAGAAAAACGAAAGGTTAAATTACTACACACCTTTATAACGTTAGACACGGCCATATGTCCATGTTACAGCGCTTGTTTACGGAAAACGGACGGAAGACAGAGTCGACTAACTGTGCTAATTAGCTATCTGCATCTCCGAACACCTGTGTAAACTGACGACGAATGACACAAACGTGTCACTGAAAAACACTGTCAGCTGCAACCATGTTAAAACAGTGTACAGTAAGTGTATATTTTGCATTTGTGTAATTATTTTTGATGTGATATGAAAGTAGAGGGATTTATGTTTCTAGAAACGTACCGTAATTTAGTCCATTATTGATTACCGTTCTCCTAGCAGTAGGATATTATGCTGGCAGCACGGTCCCCTGCCAAGACATGCATGCTCAATTTAGTGAATGTCGATTATTATTTTGGCACTCTAGTGCAGTACAACCGTTTTCACAGCTTTGCAACCACCTTTGGAAAAATAAAATGGATAATTTGACGTATTGTATTTTAATATCGTATTATTTATACCAGCAGTTCTTTTAGAAGTATACACAAATACTGGTATGTGGAAAGCTATTGTGAGGCAATATTTAAATAAATACACTTTTAATAAAATACAAAAATATACGTTATTTGAATTATTCAATAGTCTGTCAAACTTTAAAAAATGGGTCTCTTGTGCTGGGTAACGGGTTTAATACAGAGTGCCGGTGAGTCCTTTCTCCATAGCCCCCTATGCAATACACTGTACATGGGATACAGATTTTGGCTTGCAGAGAAAATAAAAACGTTTCTACAGGTCTCAGCTAAAGTGGGATGGAAAATACTCAATAGGGTCTCCTGAAATGTGGTTAGTTTTGGAGGGAGACTGTCGTACATATCCAGCGTTAAATGACTGGATGTTTTATTGTTTGTTGCACCATTCTCTGTAAACCCTAGACACTGTGGTGCATGCAAAAACCAGGAGGCCGGCTGTTTCTGAGATACTGGAACCGGCGCGCCTGGCACTGACGATCATACCACGCTCAAAGTCGCTTAGGTCACTTGTTTTGCCCATTCTAACATTCAATCTAACAGTAACTGAATGCCTCGATGCCTGTCTGCCTGCTTTATATAGCAAGCCACGGCCACATGATTCACTGTCTGTAGGAGCTAACCATTTTCGTGAACAGGGTGGTGTACCTAATAAACTGTCCATGATTGGATAGATTCAAGCTATTGAGTAAACAGCTCTCTCCATTTTACATGTTAGTCATTTAGCAGACACTCTTATCCAAAGCGACTTACAATTAGTGCATTCATCTTAAGATAAGATAACTAGGTGAGACAAAAACACCTCACAATCATATCACATTTTTCCTCAACAAAGTATTTACCGTGCCTTCAGAAAGTATTCATGGTAAATCAATAAAAAATCCCCTCACCAATTTACACACAATACGCCATAATCAAAGTGAAAACATGTTTTTAGAAATGTTTGCAAATTTATTGAAAATGAAATCCAGAAATATCTCATTTACATAAGTATTCACACCCCTGAGTCAATACAGTGGGGAAAAAAAGTATTTAGTCAGCCACCAATTGTGCAAGTTCTCCCACTTAAAAAGATGAGAGAGGCCTGTAATTTTCATCATAGGTACACGTCAACTATGACAGACAAAATGAGATTTTTTTTCTCCAGAAAATCACATTGTAGGATTTTTAATGAATTTATTTGCAAATTGTGGTGGAAAATAAGTATTTGGTCACCTACAAACAAGCAAGATTTCTGGCTCTCACAGACCTGTAACTTCTTCTTTAAGAGGCTCCTCTGTCCTCCACTCGTTACCTGTATTAATGGCACCTGTTTGAACTTGTTATCAGTATAAAAGACACCTGTCCACAACCTCAAACAGTCACAATCCAAACTCCACTATGGCCAAGACCAAAGAGCTGTCAAAGGACACCAGAAACAAAATTGTAGACCTGCACCAGGCTGGGAAGACTGAATCTGCAATAGGTAAGCAGCTTGGTTTGAAGAAATCAACTGTGGGAGCAATTATTGGGAAATGGAAGACATACAAGACAACTGATAATCTCCCTTGATCTGGGGCTCCACGCAAGATCTCACCCCGTGGGGTCAAAATGATCACAAGAACGGTGAGCAAAAATCCCAGAACCACACGGGGGGACCTAGTGAATGACCTGCAGAGAGCTGGGACCAAATTAACAAAGCCTACCATCAGTAACACACTCCGCCGCCAGGGACTCAAATCCTGCAGTGCCAGACGTGTCCCCCTGCTTAAGCCAGTACATGTCCAGGCCAGTCTGAAGTTTGCTAGAGTGCATTTGGATGATCCAGAAGAGGATTGGGAGAATGTCATATGGTCAGATGAAACCAAAATATAACTTTTTGGTAAAAACTCAACTCGTCGTGTTTGGAGGACAAAGAATGCTGAGTTGCATCCAAAGAACACCATACCTACTGTGAAGCATGGGGGTGGAAACATCGTGCTTTTGGGCTGTTTTTCTGCAAAGGGACCAGGACGACTGATCAGTGTAAAGGAAAGAATGAATGGGGCCATGTATCGTGAGATTGAGTGAAAACCTCCTTCCATCAGCAAGGGCATTGAAGATGAAACGTGGCTGGGTCTTTCAGCATGACAATGATCCCAAACACACCGCCCGGGCAACGAAGGAGTGGCTTCGTAAGAAGCATTTCAAGGTCCTCGAGTGGCCTAGCCAGTCTCCAGATCTCAACCCCATAGAAAATCTTTGGAGGGAGTTGAAAGTCCGTGTTGCCCAGCGACAGCCCCAAAACATCACTGCTCTAGAGGAGATCTGCATGGAGGAATGGGCCAAAATACCAGCAACAGTGTGTGAAAACCTTGTGAAGACTTACAGAAAACGTTTGACCTGTGTCATTGCCAACAAAGAGTATATAACAAAGTATTGAGAAACTTTTGTTATTGACCAAATACTTATTTTCCACCATAATTTGCAAATAAATTCATAGAAAATCCTACAATGTGATTTTCTGGATTTTCTTTTCTCATTTTGTCTGTCATAGTTGACGTGTACCTATGATGAAAATTACAGGCCTCTCTCATCTTTTTAAGTGGGAGAACTTGCACAATTGGTGGCTGACTAAATACTTTTTTTCCCCACTGTACATGTTAGAATCACTTTGGCAGCGATTACAGCTGTGGGTCTTTCTGGGTAAGTCTCTAAGAGCTTTGCACACCTGGATTGTACAATATTTGCACATTACTCTTTTTAAAATTCTCCAAGCTCTGTCAAGTTGTTTGTTGATCATTGCTAGACAGCCATTTTCAAGTCTTGCTATAGATTTTCAAGCCAATTTGAAGTCAAAACTGTAACTCGGCCACTCAGGAACATGCAATGCCATCTTAGTAAGCAACTCCAGTGTATATTAGGCTTTGTGTTTCAGGTTATTGTCCTGCTGAAAGGTGAATTCATCTCCCAGTGTCTGTTGGAAAGCAGACTGAACCAGGTTTTCCTCTAGGATTTGCCTATCCTTAGCTCTATTCAGTTTCTTTTTATCCTAAACAAACTACCTAGTCCTTGCCGATAACAAGCATATCCACAACATGATGCAGCCACCGCCATGCTTGAAAATATGAATGGTACAATATGAGTGGTACTCAGTGATGTGTTGGATTTGCCCCAAACATAACGCTTTGTATTCATCTCCCGAGTGGCGCAGTGGTCTAAGGCACTGCATCGCAGTGCTAGCTGTGCCATTAGAGATCCTGGTTCGAATCCAGGCTCTGTCGTAGCCGGCCGCGACCGGGAGACCCATGGGGCGGCGCACAATTGGCCCAGCGTCGTCCAGGGTAGGGGAGGGAATGGCCGGCAGGGATGTAGCTCAGTTGGTAGAGCATGGCATTTGCAACGCCAGGGTTGTGGGTTTGATTCCCACGGGGGGCCAGTATGAAAAAATATAAAAATGTATGCACTCACTAACTGTAAGTCGCTCTGGATAAGAACGCCTGCTAAATGACTCAAATGTAAATGTATTCAGGACATTAAGTTCATTTCTTTACTATATTGTTTTGCAGTATTAGTTTAGTGCCTTATTGCAAACAGGATGCATGTTTTGGAACAGTTTTGTTCTGTACGAGCTTCCTTCTTTTCACTCTGTCATTTAGGTTAGTATTGTAGAGTAACTACAATGTTGATCCATTCTCAGTTTTCTCCTATCACAGCCATTAAACTCTAACCGTTTTAAAGTCCCCATTGGCCTCATGGTGAAATCCCTGATCGGTTTCCTTCCTCTCTGGCAACGGAGTTAGGAAGGACGCCTGTATCTTTGTAGTGACTGGGTGTATTGATAACTTCATCATGCTCAAAGGGATAGTCAATGTCTTTTTTTTTTTTTTACCCATCTACCAATAGTTGCCCTTCTTTGCGAGGCATTGGAAAACCTCACTGGTCTTTGTGGTTGAATCTGTGTTTGAAATTCACTGCTCGACTGAGGGACCTTACAGAGTGAGTCCATTCAACATATTATGTGACTGGTTCAGCACATTTTTACTCCAGAACTTATTTAGGCTTGCCATAACAAAGGGGTTGAATACTTATTGACTCAAGACATTTCAGCTTTTCATTTTTAAAAATGTCTAAAAACATAATTCCACTTTGACATTATGGGGTATTGTGTGTAGGCCAGTGACAGAAAATCTCAACGTAATCCATTTTAAATTCAGGCTGTAAAAAAAAAAAAAAAAATATGTGGAAAACGTCAAGGGGTGTGAATACTTTCCAAAGGTACTGCATCAGTAAAGTCAGTGCTAGTGGGAAAAGAGAACTAGCTTTTCTTGTTTCCCTTCACAAGCAACCTTTGGAGCATGGATGACATTAAAGCTTGACCACTGACATTTTTTAGCAGTATTACATGTTTTGCTAATCTTGTTTTCTTGGGATGCTTGCAATGAAATGAATTCGTCGATGCCTCTGAAATATGACCAGGTTCAAAAACAGCCATTATTTCCCAATCGATCCCCTAGTAAAGTCAAAGACTGGTTTCAACTAAAAGTTAATCCTCATATTGTGCTTTGAATAAGACAATAATAATCACTTGTATTTTCTCACAAATTAATATTTGGAGAGATGGGATTTATGATCCATGAATCCAAGAAGCAAACCTGTTGATTGATTGTGACCAATGTGGATTTAAGAAAATTGTTGGAAGGCTATGGATAATTGGATACTGCCTCAAACATTTTTTCTTTGTCAGGCCAAGCGATTGACCGGAGCCATTTTATGGCACATGTCAAGGCTGGCCTTGGGCCGATTTAAATATGTTTAGGTGAAATTACCATCAGGTTAATCTAGGTCGTTAACAGGTATGCCAGTCTATCATTGTGTCTGAAGCAGTTGGCTTCTCTACAAATCAACCGATAAATCAGTACTTGGCACCTCTACCTCTATGGAATGGCATTTTATTTAACAATGGAAGCAAACAGCACAAGCAAAACACTTTTTTTTACGGTGTTCTCTCTTTCCAACACAACAGTACATTAATTTATTGTTTTGGAATTAATATAACATGCAGGAATAAATTTATGTCTATAACAGTCCCCGTCCAAAATTACACATATTTGGTTAGTAGATACCAGAGCTCTCCAACCCGGTTCCTTGAGAGCTACCCTAAACTAGTGCACCTGATTTCTAATAATTAACTAGTTGATAGGATGAATCAGGTTAGTTACACTGGGGTTGGAGCGAAAACCTACAGGAGGGTAGCTCTCCAGGAACAGGGTTGGCATTAAAACCTACAGGAGGGTAGCTCTCCAGGAACAGGGTTGGAGTTAAAACCTACAGGAGGGTTGCTCTCCAGGAACAGGGTTGGAATTAAAACCTACAGGAGGGTAGCTCTCCAGGAACAGGGTTGGAGTTAAAAACCTACAGGAGGGTAGCTCTCCAGGAACAGGGTTGGAGAGCCCTGGTAAAGACCCTACTGAGTATTCCCACCCCACTCTAGCTGATATGGGTAGAACAGTTCTCTCTGCAACCCAACATGTATCCCATGTACAGTCTATTACAGCGTATTGCATTGGGGACTATGGAAGGTGTGGAGAACAAAGTGCTGCTGGATATGTAGGACACAGTCCCCCTCCAAAACTACACATCTTTGGTTAGCAGAGACCCTACTGAGTATTTTCCATCTCACTTTAGCTGAGACAGGTAGAAAAGTTCTCTACAGTCCAATATTCTCAACATACCAGTGTCAACATTGTATTTTGTCATTATTGGTCTTAAAATATGTTTACTAATAAATTACTATGTTGGCACAATAAAAGTCGAAGGTTTATTTGGTTTCCTCATTAACATACAAAAGTGACATTTGTGCTGCTGGCAGAATACTAGTCCATTATTGGGCTATTATAGCTTCAGCTTACTGACAAATTTTACCACAGATAGAACAATGAGACAGATGTTTCACTGGATGTATAAAGCTGAAGCTTCCGGTTGGCTTTTCCACCAAATATGGTGATGAGAGGAAGCCCAGGCCAGGCAGTGGGAGAAGATTGTGCAAGATGGATTTTGTCCAACATTCTGCTAATTTTCTCATCGATTAAACGTTTGAACGCAATACAGTTTTCTGTTCCCAAAACTAAAATATGTTACAAACAATGTTTGTAAAAAAAAAAAAAATGGCGTTGTTTAGAAGGAGTGGAAGGGCGAACTGAGTTATTGCAAACGCGCACATCACATACTAAGCGTTCCCTAACAGAAATATGCAAATATGACAGAATGCGCCAATAGGATCTCGCTAGCTGGTGCTTGGCCCTGCCCACCTGCTTGCTTGTTCCCCCAACTATGATTAATTTGTTCCCATTGGAAACGACAGGCTGTGGTCTATCTTGAGTTAGTTATTAAAATATTTTATTTTACTGTCAACCTTCTGACTAGGATGGGACGATATCTAGCTAGCTACATTACAAGTAATAAGGTTTAAAGCGAACAAGATCTAAAACGGACATTTGATTTGTAATCACTAAATTACTACAGTAATGATTACTGAAAATGAAGTTAGCTAGCCACCTTAGCTACCTAACGGCCTAGCTAGTTAGCCATGCTAACTTACTAAAAAGATGAACGAAAGATGAACGATTCACACTTCATATATTTCACATTGTTTTGATAACAAATAATATGGTCATTCACAACTTAGTGTCTTGAAGATCAACATACTTGCTTGCTATGATAGCTACTGTAGTTAGCTAGCTAGGTGTTTCCTAATGGCTAGTTAGCAAGCTAGCTAGATCAAAAGGCTAATCCATGTTGATCGGGTGAACGTGGACAAATAATCGGACTACTAAATTCTGTTTTGTGTTTCGAAACGTTCTAGAATATGTTAGAAAGCTTGATCTTACCTTGACACTTGATTTTGACAGCTGTTGTTGTTGTTGTATGCCCTCGTTTAACAGAACGAGATGTGCGCTGTCACCGCGAGAAGAAAAAAAAAAATATATATATATATATATATGTACTCAAGACCGTCATGGCTGCGCTAGATGCGCAACTTCATTTAATCTGATAATCTTTCTTTATGAATAGGATAACATTATATTTTACCCAGTTGTTTTGGAGGTTTTCATCTCAGATCATATGTGAATTGGCTTGAAGACCCTTTTGGCAGTTAATCACGGTTCCACACTGAAAGCAACTTCTTTACTCAAGCTGTTTTTAATTGATTACAGGTCGATAGTTCCATCTTGTGGTTGAATGGAGCGACTAGACATTGCATTCATCTCAACTTCACTGGTGTTTTTCTTTCAGGTTGAATAATCACAACAATATATTATATCTTATTGACCAAAACAGGTATCTTGAATGATTCCCCAAAAAACATAATTAACAAGGATGAAAACAGTAATGGAATGTCATATTTTTGTTCCAATATAAATCAGGGACTTCTCAAGAAGTTAGAAAGATACAATGAGGTTTTAATGTTAAAATAGAGCCAATCCATTCTATTGAAAATGACATACATTACACACAAGATAGTATCTATACATACATAGTCTATGTTAGACAGACATAGAGGTTACAGTTCAACTTCTGTAGGTCCTGCTTCTATAAAAACAAACAGTAAAAAGTATGGCAGCTCACAGATGGGGGAACACTTTAAAACTGCAGGGGGTGTTTTGAGTTTGTCTGTCTTTACAAGTGTGTGTCTTGACTCTCTCTCTCTCCGTGTGTGTGTGTGTGTGTTGGGTGAGATGGTCCTGGAGCACAGACATCCACAGGTCAGTTAATGCATACTAGTGTGTGTGTGTCTCTGCGTGTGTTTGTGTGTGTGTGTGTCCGTGTCTAGTTAGGGGAGATGGTCCTGGAGCGTAGACATCCACAGGTCAGGTACTGCATAGCCTTCATGCTAACGTGCATCAGGGGCCCCAGGTTGAACAACATATGGTAGAAGGCGTGCACCGACAGGCCGCCTGTCTCGTCTGCGTACTTCAGTGCCACGATGGGCGTGTACAGAGGGTTGGTAAGGTTCCGGAACCGTGCAGAGCTACCCTGCTCAATCACCTTCTTAGTGCACTACAGGAGAGGGAGAGAGAATAGTTAGTGTACTGGAGGAGAGGGAGAGAGACTAGTTAGTGTACAGGAGGAGAGGGAGGGAGACTAGTTAGTGCACTGGAGGAGCAGGAGAGAGACTAGTTAGTGTACTGGAGGAGCGGGAGAGAGACTAGTTAGTGTACTGGAGGAGCGGGAGAGAGACTAGTTAGTGTACTGGAAGAGAGGGAGAGAGACTAGTTAGTGCACTGGAGGAGAGGGAGAGAGACTAGTTAGTGTACTGGAAGAGAGGGAGAGAGACTAGTTAGTGCACTGTAGGAGCGGGAGAGAGACTAGTTAGTGTACTGGAAGAGAGGGAGAGAGACTAGTTAGTGCACTGGAGGAGATGGAGAGAGACTAGTTAGTGCACTGGAGGAGCAGGAGAGAGGGAGAAAGATACACTAGTTAGTGCCGTGGAGGAGCGGGAGAGAGGGAGAGAGAGTAGGGAGAGAGTACGGAAAGAGTAGATAGAGAGTAGGGAGAGAGTAGAGAGAGAGTAGATATCGAGTAGAGAGTAGAGATAGAGTGGGGAGAAAGTATATAGAGAGAGTAGGGAGAGAGTAGAGAGTAGGGAAAGAGTAGGGAAAGAGTAGATAGAGAGTAGGGAGAGAGTAGAGAGAGAGTAGATATCGAGTAGAGAGAGTAGAGATAGAGTGGGGAGAAAGTATATAGAGAGAGTAGGGAGAGAGTAGAGAGAGAGTAGGGAGAGAGTAGAGAGAGAGAGTAGGGAGAGAGTAGAGAGAGAGTAGATAGAGAGAGAGAGAGAGTAGATAGAGAGAGTAGAGAGAGATAGACTATGCCACACACAGACAGGTGGACTAACCCTGGCGATGTCATCGGGGGTCTGTCCGAGCGTCTCAAAGATGTCGACGGAGGAGGGCAGGTAGACGTTTTTAAAGTAGTTGACGGTGTCTGCATCGGCCCCGGGGAACTCTTTCTGACGGACGTCCTGTATCATCTTAGATTCAAACTCTGTATGGACCGGGCCTGGCTCTATCATAGACATACTTGAGGGGAGGGAGAGGAAGGAGAGGAGGAAGGGAGAGGGAGAGGAGGGAGGAGAGGGAGAGGGAGAGAGAACGAGGCGGAGAGAGGAGGAAGAGGCAGTGAGAGCTGGGGAGGAGGGAGAGGAGGTGAGTGGGAAGGACTCGGCGGAGGAGAGGAGCGACTAGAAGGAAGGCGAGAGAGCGGGAGGGGCAGGATCCGACGGGGAGCCGCAGCGGAGGGGAGGAAGGGGGAGAGGAGAGGCGCGAGCGACGGAGCGCGGGCGGCGGGACGAGGAGGTGAGGGAAGGAGGGGGGGGTTCCGAGAGGGGAGGAGAGGCGGGAGAGGAGGGAGAGGAGGGAGAGGAGAGGGGGAGGAGGGGAGGGGGAGGACGGCCGGGAAGGCGGTAAGGAAGGGGCCGAGGAAGGAACGGGGGAGGAGGGAGAGGAGGGGAGGACGGCTGGATGAGGAGGGGAGAAGGGGCGAAGGAGAGAGAGACAAGAAGGGGGGGGGCGGGGGGGGGGGGGGGTGTGAGAGGGACAGAGAGAGAAAAGGTGGTGGAGAAGAACAGAAGAGAGATCATGTTTTTAATCGTATGCTTTAATTGGTCCGTCCCTGACAAATATATTAAATAAAGAAATTCATTTTGGGAAATGTAGTTGTGTTAGAGAAACTCACGTGACGTTAAACTTGAGCAGCTGTACAGCCAAACACTCACAAAACCCTTCCATGGCAAACTTAGAGGCAGCATACACGTCATTAAACACAACACCTGAGATAAGAGAATACTATTTTACTATTTTATTATGATCACACCTATTGACAACCATTATGTATAAAAACTAAAAGGGTTTCATCCCATTTTCAAATCAACAACAGACATAATATTATATGAAACAGCGATTTCATTGGATTTCTTCACATAGCTTCACCATTATATAATATTCAGAACAGTTTATGATGTTGTACATATAATATTGCCATTTAGCAGACGCATTTATCCAAAGCGACTTACAGGCATGTGTGCATACATTTTTACGTATGGGTGGACCCGGGGATTGAACCCACTACCCTGGCGTTACAAGCGCCATGCTCTACCAATTGAGCTACAGAGGACCACATGGACCCACTGTAATCCTTCACCATCAAAACATAGACCTAGACATCACCTTTTCTGTGTTATTATGTTTGGTTCAGCAGATATTTAGAAAAATACGTTGTCCGGCAATGGCATAATATAAAAATGTCCGCCAGGAGGCGTTTTGGCGATGCCTCCATATCTGAAAATGTTCAAGGCCTCAAACTGTGCAAGTGTACCGAGTTTCATGCTTTTATGAAAAAGTTAACATATCACCTCAAATTTGGCACATATCGCCTGGACCACTATGATGTGTGTCCCCTCATCTTTTTCATATCAGCCAATCAATCAATCAATCAACCAATCAATCAATCAATCAGTAAAGCATAGTTCCGTACCCTGTAGTCCCATGACACTGCTGACCACTATGATGTGTCCTCCCCTCCTCTTCTTCATATCTGGCATCACCTCCTTGATCATCCGGATCACACCGAAGAAGTTGGTCTCAAACACACTCTTCATCTCAGCGATACTGATGCTTTCCACCGGTCCCACCAGCCCTATACCTGCATTATTAACTAGAGAGAGAGGGAGGAGGAGGGAGAGGAGAGGTGGGAGGGAGTGGACGGGAGAAGGAGGTGGGAGGGAGTGGATGGGTGAAGGAGGGGGGGGGAGAGAAAAGAGATGGAGAGGGGGAGGGGGGGGAGGGAGAGAGAGAAGAGGTAGAGAGGGGGAGGGGGGAGAGAGAGAAGAGGTCGAGTGGGGGAAGGGATGGAGAAGGAGGGTGGGAGAGAGAGAAGAGATGGAGAGGGGGAGGGGGGAGAGGAGAGAAGAGGTCGAGTTGGGGAAGGGAGAAGGAGGGGGGGAGAGAGAGAAGAGGTGGAGAGGTGGGAGGGGGGAGGGGATAGAGAGAAGAGGTAGAGAGGGGGAGGTAGAAGGAGGGGGGAGAGAGAAGAGAGAGGGAGAAATAGGGAAAGAAGAAGGAAAGAGTGACAGCCATGTACATAAGGGTGATCAGAGCGCTAAAGTCTCTTCAGTTGGGTTCCAGTCGTCACCACAGGGTGGCAGTAGAACCAAAGGTATTAGCCCAGTCTGTCTCTACACTGAGCTATAACCAGGTATTAGCCCAGTCTCTCTACACTGAGCTATGACCAGGCATTAACCCAGTCTCTCTACACTGAGCTATGACCAGGTATTAACCCAGTCTTTCTACACTGAGCTATGACCAGGCATTAACCCAGTCTCTCTACACTGAGCTATGACCAGGCATTAACCCAGTCTCTCTACACTGAGCTATGACCAGGCATTAACCCAGTCTCTCTACACTGAGCTGTGACCAGGTATTAACCCAGTCTCTCTACACTGAGCTATGACCAGGTATTAGCCCAGTCTCTCTACACTGAGCTATGACCAGGTATTAACCCAGTCTCTCTACACTGAGCTATGACCAGGCATTAGCCCAGTCTCTCTACACTGAGCTATGACCAGGGCCTGTATAGTATATATCAGCCATACTCAACTGGCGGACCCCGGTCCGGATCCGGACCTAGAAAAGGGTAAATACGTACGTTTATAGATTTTCAAATCATAAAAGTGTTCCTTAGTTATTGTGTTTTTATTTTGACAGAAGTGTTGCCTTGCGTCATGAAAAACAAAGCTGTTCCTTACTGAGTATGTAGAGATTAGGGTGCCATTTTGGACATAACCCCTTCAGATAAGTCCATAGATGTTCCTTACTGAGTACGTCTACATGTCTGTCCTTGATTCCGTTGATACACTGTTTGACTGACTCGTCCGTACACACGTCCAGCACAGCTAGAGAGAGGGTCTTCCCGTACGCATCACCCGCTGCCTCCACAAGCTTGTTTTCTTTTTAGCAGAAAAGAGGGTCCTATAGGTACAGAGTCACGGAATGGGGGGGGAAAAAAAATTTTTTTTTTTTTTTGGGGGGGGGGGGGAAAAAAAAAAGGGGAAAGTGAAGGGCCTTTGGGTACCCCAACCTAATGGGTTTGAAAAATTTTATTATCCGCGCCCTAAACTTTCCCAGTGGGGTTTCATGTTCCCACCCCTTCCCTTAGACCAAGGGAAAACAAGGATGAAGGGAAAAATTTTTTAAGAGGGGAGGGAAAAAAGTCCCCAAACGAGAAGGAAGGAATAACCCCCCCAAAAAAGGGAAGGAAAACCGTCTTTCAGAGAGACCAGGATTACCCATCCCAAAAAAAAATTTATCTAAAAAAAAACCAGGCAAACCCCCCCCCCACACTGATTGGGACCGGGGGTTTAAGGCGAAAACGGGGAAACCCCGGAACCAGAAAATAAACCGGGGTTTTCCCCCTGGGCCAAAGGCGGGACAAAGGGCCTCATAAAAACAAAAGGGGCCAAGAAAAGAAACCCAAGGGCCCCCCCCCTTCCAGAAAAGGGAAGAACAAACAAAAAGGGTCCTTTATTTTTTTTTCCCGGGGCTTGCCCGGGGAAAAAAATTTTTTAAAAGGATGGCCAGCAACCCCAAAGTAGAAAGGGTTTCCCCGAGACACCCGCCCTCCGGAAGAGCCGGGGGAAAATGAGAGAGAGAGGGGAGAAAGGGAGGAAAGGGAGGGGAGGGGAAGGCGAGAGAGGGGAGAGGGGGGGAAAGAGAGGAGGGGGAGGCCCCTTCGAGGAAGGGGGAGGAGGAGAGAAGAAGGGGAGAGAAGGGAGAAGGGGATAAGAGAAGGAGAAAGAAGAAAGGGGAGGAAAGGAGAAAAGAGAATAATAGGGTCAAACAGAGTTCACTGGATTAAACCTGATATTGAGTAAACATAGATTACACTGTGTGTCTGTGTGGAATGTGTATGTTGAGAGGTCAAGGAGAGGAGGAGAGGAAAGGGGGGATGCAAACATCAACAATCAAGACAGGAAGGAGAGAGAGAGAGAGAAAGAGAGGGGGGGGGGAGAGGGGGAGAGGAGAGAGAGAGAGAGAGAGAGAGAGAGGGGGAGAGCGGGGGGGAGACGAGAGAGAGACGTGAACCAAGAGGCAGAAAGAGAGAAGGAATTGTGTGAGGGAGAGAAAGGAGGGTTGAAATTGTCATTCTGAGAATATATATATATATATTTTTGTATGGAAACCACATTCTATAAGACATTATTGTGCAATAAGATAGCAGCCAGACGGCCCTAAACTACCTGTTCCTCATGTGTCTCCTGTCTATTATACTATTCTATAGATAGCAGCCAGACGGCCCTAAACTACCTACACCTCACGTCCCTGCTGTCCGATTTAGCCCTGGCACTGTGGTCTGATCTTATTATGGGGCTAGCTTAGCGTTAGCGGGAATACCCATCCCACCCCACCCTCCGGGGCAGTAAGCGGCCTAGCCAGGGCCCCTCCTGGAGGTTTAGGTATTGTCCGCCAGGCATTATGACACAGAGAGCAGTGGTAATGGTCCTACTCTTACTGATTGGTCTGATTGGTTAAGCAGGGATGAGACATAATAACCGTGACGTGTAAGAAACATACACACTCTGCCATACACAGGGCCTTGCATAGCAGACAGACAATCATGTAACCGTGCTGTGTGTTATAACCTGCTATGTAACTGTTCTCTCCTATGAGTACCAGTGTTATAACCTGCTATGTAACTGTTCTCTCCTATGTGTGTCAGTGGTTTAACCTGCTATGTAACTGTTCTCTCCTATGTGTGTCAGTGGTTTAACCTGCTATGTAACTGTTCTCTCCTATGTGTGTCAGTGGTTTAACCTGCTATGTAACTGTTCTCTCCTATGAGTACCAGTGTTATAACCTGCTATGTAAGTGATGTACGTTGTGTATCAGTGGTATAACCTGCTATGTAGGTGATATTTGTTGTGTATCAGTGTTATTTCCACACACAGCCACTTACAGACAGTTACACGTACATAGTTACAGCTACGCTTACAGTTTGCGTAACAGTTAGAGTTATTGTTACAAAAACACTTACGTACACGGACAATCATGTAACCCTGCTGTGTAAGTGTTGAAACCTGCTGTGTAAGTGTTGAAACCTGCTGTGTAAGTGTTGAACCCTGCTGTGTAAGTGTTGAACCCTGCTGTGTAAGTGTTGAAACCTGCTGTGTTGAACCCTGCTGTGTGAACCCTGCTGTGTAAGTGTTGAAACCTGCTGTGTTGAACCCTGCTGTGTAAGTGTTGAAACCTACTGTGTAAGTGTTGAAACCTGCTGTGTTGAACCCTGCTGTGTTGAACCCTGCTGTGTAAGTGTTGAACCCTGCTGTGTTGAACCCTGCTGTGTAAGTGTTGAAACCTACTGTGTAAGTGTTGAAACCTGCTGTGTAAGTGTTGAAACCTGCTGTGTTGAACCCTGCTGTGTTGAACCCTGCTGTGTTGAAACCTACTGTGTAAGTGTTGAAACCTGCTGTGTTGAACCCTGCTGTGTTGAACCCTGCTGTGTAAGTGTTGAACCCTGCTGTGTTGAACCCTGCTGTGTTGAACCCTGCTGTGTAAGTGTTGAAACCTGCTGTGTAAGTGTTGAACCCTGCTGAGTTGAACCCTGCTGTGTTGAAACCTGCTGTGTAAGTATCAAATGGCACCCTATTCCCTACATAGTGCACTACTTTAGACCATAAATCATGTTTTTTTTTATATAGAGATAGATCATAAACTACAGGTTTTTATAATTCAATATATCTGACTGTTTGGACATAACCTACTGTCATCACCATTAGGCTGAGGTACACCACACACACACACACACACACACACACACACACACACACACACACACACACACACACACACATACACACACACATACAGACTTTATGTCTCACACATACAGTGCCTTCGGAAAGTATTCATACCCCTTGATTTATTCCACATTTTGTTGTGTTACAGGCTGAATTCAAAATGGATTCAATTGTTGTTATTTTTTGCTCAGCCATCTACACACAATACGCCATAATCACAAAGTGAAAACATGTTTTGAGAAAATGTTGCATATTTATTGAAAATGAAATATAGAAACATCTACAGTGGGGAGAACAAGTATTTGATACACTGCCAATTTTACAGGATTTCCTACTTACAAAGCATGTAGAGGTCTGTAATTTTTTATCATAGGTACACTTCAACTGTGAGAGACGGAATCTAAAACAAAAATCCAGAAAATCACATTGTATGATTTTTAAGTAATTAATTTGCATTTTATTGCATGACATAAGTATTTGATCACCTACCAACCAGTAAGAATTCCGGCTCTCACAGACCTGTTAGTTTTTCTTTAAGAAGCCCTCCTGTTCTCCACTCATTACCTGTATTAACTGCACCTGTTTGAACTTGGTACCTGTATAAAAGACACCTGTCCACACACTCAATCAAACAGACTCCAACCTCTCCACAATGGCCAAGACCAGAGAGCTGTGTAAGGACATCAGGGATAAAATTGTAGACCTGCACAAGGCTGGGATGGGCTACAGGACAATAGGCAAGCAGCTTGGTGAGAAGGCAACAACTGTTGGCGCAATTATTAGAAAATGGAAGAAGTTCAAGATGACAGTCAATCACCCTCGGTCTGGGGCTCCATGCAAGATCTCACCTCGTGGGGCATCAATGATCAGGATCAGCCCAGAACTACACGGCAGGACCTGGTCAATGACCTGAAGAGAGCTGGGACCACAGTCTCAAAGAAAACCATTAGTAACACACTACGCCGTCATGGATTAAAATCCTGCAGAGTACGCAAGGTCCCCCTGCTCAAGCCAGCGCATGTCCAGGCCCATCTGAAGTTTGCCAATGACCATCTGGATGATCAAGAGGAGGAATGGGAGAAGGTCATGTGGTCTGATGAGACAAAAATATAGCTTTTTGGTCTAAACTCCACTCGCCGTGTTTGGAGGAAGAAGAAGGATGAGTACAACCCCAAGAACACCATCCCAACCGTGAAGCATGGAGGTGGAAACATCATTCTTTGGGGATGCTTTTCTGCAAAGGGGACAGGACGACTGCACCGTATTGAGGGGAGGATGGATGGGGCCATGTATCGCGAGATCTTGGCCAACAACCTCCTTCCCTCAGTAAGAGCATTGAAGATGGGTCGTGGCTGGGTCTTCCAGCATGACAACGACCCGAAACACACAGCCAGGGCAACTAAGGAGTGGCTCCGTAAAAAGCATCTCAAGGTCCTGGAGTGGCCTAGCCAGTCTCCAGACCTGAACCCAATAGAAAATCTTTGGAGGGAGCTGAAAGTCTGTATTGCCCAGCGACAGCCCCGAAACCTGAAGGATCTGGAGAAGGTCTGTATGGAGGAGTGGGCCAAAATCCCTGCTGCAGTGTGTGCAAACCTGGTCAAGACCTACAGGAAACGTATGATCTCTGTAATTGCAAACAAAGGTTTCTGTACCAAATATTAAGTTCTGCTTTTCTGATATATCAAATACTTATGTCATGCAATAAAATGCAAATTAATTACTTTAAAATCATACAATGTGATTTGTTGAAGTGTACCTATGAAAAAAATTACAGACCTCCACATGCTTTGTAAGTAGGAAAACCTGCAAAATCGGCAGTGTATCAAATACTTGTTCTCCCCACTGTAATTTACATAAGTATTCTCACCCCTGAGTGAATACTTTGTAGAAGCATCTTTGGCAGTGATTACAGTTGTGAGTCTTTCTGGGTAAGTCTCTAAGAGCTTTCCAATCCTGGATTGTACAACCTTTGCCCATTATTATTTTCAAAATTATTCAAGTGCTGTCAAATTGGTTTATGATCATTGCTAGACAACCATTTTCAGGTCTTGCCATAGATTTTTAAGTAGATTTAAGTCAAAACTGTAATTCAGTCACTCAGGATCATTCACTGCCATCTTGGTAAGCAAATCCAGTGTAGATTTGGCCTTGTGTTTTAGGTTATTGTCCCGCTGAAAGGTGAATTCATCTTCCAGTATCTGGTGGAAAGCAGACTGAACCAGGTTTTCCTCTAGGATTTTGCCTGTGCTTAGCTCCATTCAATTTCTTTTTTATCCTGAAAAACTCCCCAGTCCTTAACGATTACAAGCATACCCATAACATGATGCAGACACCACTATGCTTGAAAATATGGTGAGTGGTACTCAGTAATGTGTTATATTGGATTTGCCCCAAACAAAACACTTTGCATTTTGGAAAAAAAGTGAATTGCTTTGCCACATTTTTTGCAGTATTACTTTAGTGCTTGTTGCAAACAGGATGCATGTTTTGGAATATTTCTGTTCTGTACAAGCTTCCTTCTTTTCGCTCTGTCATTTAGGTTAGTATTGTGGAGTAACTACAATATTGTTGATCCATCCTCAGTTTTCTCCTATCACAGACATTAAACTCTGTTTTAAAGTCACCATTGGCCTCATGGTGGAATCCTTTCCTCTCCGGCAACTGAGTTAGGAACGACGCCTGTATCTTTGTAGTGACTGGATGTATTGATACCCAATCCAAAGTGTAGTTAATAACTTCAACATGCTCAAAGGGATATTCAATGTCTGCTTTTTTTTTTTACCCATCTTTACCCTTCATCGCAAGGCATTGGAAAACCTCCCTGGTCTTTGTGGTTGAATCTGTGTTTGAAATTCACTGCTTGACTGAGGGACCTTACAGATAATTGTATGTGTGGGGTACAGAAATGAGGTATTGATTACAAAATCATGTTAAACACTATTATTGCACACAGAGTGAGTCCTTGCAACTTTATTATGTGACTTGTTAAGCACAGTTTTACTCGTGAATTTATTTAGGCTTGCCATAACAAAGGGGTTGAATACTTATTGACCCAATACATTTCAGCTTTTCATTTTGTATTAATTTGTAACAATTTAAAAATACATAATTCCACTTTGACACTGTGGGATATTGTGTGTAGGCCAGTGACAAAAACATCTAAATTGTATCCATTTGTAATTCAGGCTGTAACAACAACATGTGGAAAAAGTAAAGGGGTGAATACTCTCTGAATGTACTGGGGGTTACTCTCTTACCGTGATAGCGCTGTTTCTCGTCCTTGGCGAGCATCACCGCCATCCTCAGCCCGATCCCGGAGGAGCAACCGGTGATCAGCACCACTTTTTGTCCTGGGCTCGACATGGCTCTGCTAACGTTTTTCCCTTAACGTTCAAATAACTAACTAACGTCGCTTCTCTTCTCTCTCCAGTTGGCACATCGGGACTGAGCAAGCAGCAGCGCAAGCTGTGGCAAGATGACAGGGGCTTTGAGTTGAGTGCCACTGTAAGCGGATAACACACACACGCACACACACACACACACTCACGCACACACACACACACACACACACACACACACACACACACACACACACACACACAGCGCTGCAGAGTCACATGGATAGCAAACACAAGCCCTACACGAGGATTATCTAACCCGTAGGCTACACTATCGGTTGGTCATCTGGTGCGGCTTCCCCGCCTCATCTGTTGAGCTCGATAGAACAGTATTGACTAGGCCAGAGATGGGGTCTGTTGTTTACTGTTGCGAGTTAGAATAGTAGAATGCACAAGGTGCAATTTCGAAATTTGGTTGCACATTAGCAGATGTCCTCTTGTTATTTCAGTCATTGATAGTCACTCAATTAACCCATGTCAGCTAACAGTTTTTAGATGGGTATATTAGTTTAGCAGCCAGCTGTCTAAACTTCTAGTAATCATGGTCGAATTACCACTTTGGGGCCCCCATTGATTTTGTTAGTCATTCTCACTCAGATATCACATTAGGGACTGTAAACATTTCTCTCCACCCTATGGCAAAATGTGTAGAATTGCAGCTAACTTACTTTAAAACCTAACATGTTCTCTACACCGCATGGCAAACTGGGTAGAACTGCAACACATAACTCGTGGGACGGCGGCGGCGGCGCGACTGCGGCCCATCATGATGAGTTCAGATTTTTTGTGGCCCCCACCCCCATCAAAGTTGCCAATCCCTGGACTAGGCTATATATCCATGACAAGGAAAAACTAACAATAATAATATTTAGCAGACGCTTTAGTGACATACATTTTTACGTATGGGTGGTCCCGGGGATCGAACCCACTACCCTGGCATTACAAGCGCCATGCTCTACCAATTGAGCTACAGAGGACCACATGTACTACTCTGGTGGATAAAGACTGAGTTTACAGAACAGATTTTAGGAAACACTGATTGCGAATAAAATTATTAATATTTGTTTTTAGTAATTTAACGTTTTTTAATGGCAACTTTTTAAAATAACTAATAATGCTGAAAGACTTCTAAATTTACCTAAATAAATAAAAAACTTGATCTTTGAACAAATTGTGATCATCACTGCCTGGTTAAAAGACCAATTAGGTTACCGTTTATTAATATTATATATTAATATGTTGGTTTAGATTGAACATTTGGGGCGGCAGGTAGCTTAGTGGTTAAGAGCGTTGTGCCAGTAACCGAAAGGTCGCTGGTTCTAATCCCCGAGCTGACTAGGTGAAAAATCTGTCAATGTGCCCTTGAGCAAGGCACTTAACCCTAATTGCTCCTGTAAGGATAAGAGCGTCTGCTAAAATTTAATATGTTGGCCTAGGTTGAACAGTTAGACATTGGCAGTTTTTTTTTACCCAAATGTATCTTGTGTTTAATTGATTTTAACCTGATTCCATTTCAGACCACTTTTATTAATCACTTTCAGATCGTTATATTAGATGAAAACTGCTCAGACACCTCTGTAGCTCAACTGGTAGAGCATGGTGCTTATAACGCCAGGGTAGTGGGTTCGATGCCCGGGACCACCCATACGTGAAAATGTATGCGCACATGACTGTAAGTCGCTTTGGATAAAAGCGTCTGCTAAATGGCATTGTTATTATTATTACAGTATCTCCGGTTGATCCTTGTGGTGAAGCGTTGGTGAAAGTGCTGAGGTTTGGCGCCACCGTGTGGCCTAGATATCTCATTAAAGAGGAAAACAGAAAGTAATTAATGTCAGATACTCACTGACAAGATGGTCTTGTCTCTTCCCTAACAATGGGAGTTGTTGTCGCAAAGGAGGGAAAGCAGGCGGTCTGCTTATCGTGGACAGATATTTGACGAGAGTGAAGGAGATTGGCCTCTTCCTCTCTGTCTAAGTCTAGAAAGATGTCAGAATACAGATATGATGTCATCGTTTTAGTACTAGGCTTAAACCACTTTAAAAACCAATCAATAAAAAATTTTATTTTATGGGAAATAGTTGGAAAAAATTTTAACACTGTGGCCTCAACCGGAACCGGGGCCGCTGGCCATTGTGGTGCCCCCCTTTGGGACCCAACCCAACGTGTGATCGCCTAAATGAACCGGGGTTTGGAAAAGCGCCTAAAATAATATTTTTAGACCGCTCCCCCCTGGGAGCCCTTTTGGGGGGTAAATTGTTTTAAAGTCTAATTGCAATTGTTTTAATACTCATTAAGGGACAGAGTTTTAATAAGTCAATACTATCAGATGTTTTTTTTCCCTAACCAATTGGTAGTTGTTTTCCCCAATAAGAAGAAATTTCGTACCCGGGGACAGATTTTATAGTAATTTCCTTTCTTTTTTTAAGTCTAAAAATTGTCAAAATTGTAATGCACCTTTAAGACGGGTTGAATTTTCACAAACAAATAAATTTTTATTTAATCCCTTTTTAATTGAAATCATTAAAAAACTTTTAAATTTTTACGCCAACCTTTGGACAGATGGAATTTCGCAATACTACCAGGGTTTTTAATCACCTAATTGAAACCGATGGATTTTTAGTTAACCTACAGATTTTAATCAGTCTCACTTACCGGGGAATCGAACCAACTTGACAATTTTTAAAAAGCTCAACAACTTGATCAATTTTTAATAACCCTCAATCAACTTGATCAGATTTTTAACACTCAATCAACTTGATCAGATTGTTTAACAGCCTCAATAAACTTGATCAGATTTTTTAATCAGCTCAATAACCCTTACAATTTTTAATCACCACAATCAACTTGATCAGATTGTTTAATTAGCCAATCAACTTGATCAGATTGTTTAATCAGCTCAATCAACTTGATCAGATTGTTTAATCAGCTCAATCAACTTGATCAGATTGTTTAATCAGCTCAATCAACTTGATCAGATTGTTTAATCAGCTCAATCAACTTGATCAGATTGTTTAATATAAATCAATTACTTTTTTAAATTGTTAAGCACAATCAACTTGTAATTGTTAACAGCCAATCAACTTGATCAGATTGTTTAATCAGCACATCAAACTTGATCAGATTGTTTAATCAGCTAAATCAACTTGATCAGATTATTTAATCAGCCCAATCAACTTGATCAGATTGTTTAATCAGCTCAATCAACTTGATCAGATTGTTTAAATTGCCAGCGTCTTGGGATCATGTAGCCCTAAACTGTACTCATGCAGATACAAAACAACAGTAGTAGCCAATAAGGGATGAAGCTACAACAGGACAAACTTAACAAACATAAATGCATTGAAGACGCCATCTTGCTGTCCAACATTGATTTGGATTCAATCGATTGAAATGTGTTTTATTTTTTTATCAATATTCATTGACCAGATGATCACACACACACACGCCCCCCCACCGCACACACACACCCCACACACACCCACCCACACACACACACACACACACCCACACACACACACACACACACAACACACACACACACACACACAAAAACCCCCCACACACACACACACTTAAACCTACCTGAGGGGAAAGAGGTAGAACTATTTGGGAAAATATCTAACATCAGGGAAGGGGGAATGTGTGTGTTGTTTTTTGTGTTGTGTTTGTTTTTTTTGTTGTGTTGTTTGTGTTGTTGTTGTTTGTGTTTTTTCATTTTTTTTGTTCTTTACCTGGATACCTGCGGCCCTCACATCTCAACATGTTTATGTGCCTGCGTCCAAAATGGCCCCCTATTCCCTGTGTAGTGCACCACTTTAGACCAGGGCCCTATAAGGTATAGGGGGCCATTTGGGACAGAACCCTGTGTTTAAAGTGTGAGGTGGGAAAAAGGGAGGGAGAGGGGAGAGAGCGAGAGAGAGAGAGAGAGAGAGAGAGAGACGAGAGGAGAAGAGAGAGAGAGAGAAAGAGGGAAGAGAGAGAGAAAGAGAGAGAGAATAGAAAAGAGAGAAGAAGAAGATGAGACAGACCGACAGACAGACAGACAGACAGACCAGACCAGACAGACAGCATAGGACAGACAGACCAGAAAGACAGGACATGACAGTACATGACAGACAGAACATGACAGGGACAGAAGACCAGTATAGATAGACAGACAGAGGAGAGATCGGAGGAGCGAGGAGATGGAGAGCTAGGACAGAGAGAAGTCGAAGACAGAGAGCGAGGACCAGAGAGAGGAGAGGAGCGAGGAATTACTTTGATGATATGAGCTCCACAAAATAATCTGTGTGAAAGCATTGAGAAACAATCAAAACCATCTCACAGGTTTCAATGTC